GAGAGAGAGAGAGAGAGAGACAGACAGAGAACACCCGAGTACTCATGCTGATAAGCCCACCAACGTCGGCCAGTCATTCCTTGGAACACGCACGTAATAGTAAAAAAAACGTTGCATCGGAGAAGAAGAGACTTACGCTGCCGCCGACACCGCCAGCGCGTGCTTCAGCGACCCGGGAGCGACCCGTCCCCCGGCAGTCCTCGCCCCCGCCGCCGCCCCCATCGAGGACTGCCTGCCGATGCTCGCCGCCATCGCCGCCGCGGCGGCGGCCGTCGCGGGAGGCACGTGCTGCTTCCGGATCTGGTCCTCGGTCATCCGGCGCTCCGCCACCGTCGCGAAGGAGGGCCTGCGGGCCGCCGCGGAAGACCTGGGAAAATCAGAAGGTACGGGCATGGGGGGTAAAGGAAGGAACAGGGAAACGAAGGGCCATCAGAGTTTGAGCTTGGGGAAAAGAAAGGAGAGGATAATGAAAGGCTACCCTCGTCAGGCCGGGGCTCATGTCGTGGCTTATGCAGAGAGTGGAGGGTGGTTGGCCGTCCATCGATCAGCGCGACTCGTCTTGCTACCATAAAACCGTTGTGTGTGCAACCGGCGGTGATTAAGCGACGTCATCTTCACGCCCGCCATCCACTCTGGGGAAGCGATCCGCACGTGACATTACGTGTTCGTTACAACCATTCGTTCGTTTGTTCGTTCATTCGTTGTTGGTCTGCCAAGCCGGTTGGCAAGAAGGTCGATGCTCCGTAAAAAGAAACGAGTACATACGCATACGATGAGAAGAGACCAACACACGCCATCCCATTCCCACAAAAGCGCGCAAAAAAACAAACAAATAGCAAGAGAACAGGCAACCATCTAGCTTGAGCTCCGTCCTTATAAAACACAAAACCCAGCGGACGGACGCCAAGAAAACATAACTCACGACGAAACGGACGATGACGACCCCGCCCCTGCGGCGCCCCCCCCCCCCCCCCCCCCCCCCCCCCCCCCCCCCCCCCCCCCCCCCCCCCCNTCCCCGCCCCCTCCTCCTCCGCCGCCCCCCTCCTCCGGAACGGCGGCACCAGCAGTAGCGGCGGCGGCATCTGCGGCGGCATCTGCGGCGGCGGCGGCGGCCGCGGCGGCGGCGCTCGTCTCCCTGGCGTTCCTCTCCGTAACCTGCCGCATCAGCTCCTCCTGCTCCGCGTGGATGCGGGCCTCGATCGTGCGTTGTTCTTCGGCCTGCGGTGTCGAGCGCCGCATGGAGACAGACAGCCAGACAGACAAGAGGGACGAACGGAAGACGAAACGATTGACGCAGACCTCTCAAAGAATTAGCGTAGTTCGAAATGGTTTGGGTATTGTCTGGGGGGACACTACGAAACGATCGTATTCAAAAGCCAGTTACACACCTGTTGTCGTTTGCATATCACGTTGCAGCAGTGGAGGCTGCTCGGTGGGTCACCTCTGTTGTCCCAGCAGCTGTTCGACTTTCAAGGGAACCTTTCGTCTTAACTCCAAAGGAGCTGTATGTTTCATACCGAGCTATTGAAACTGGCACTGAATAAACTACACCTTTATCCATTCTGTCTCTGTAGACTTTCAACTCTCACCATGCGCTTGTCGTGATCCTCCTTGCTGGGAGGCCCGAGGTACTCGACCGAGAACTTGGTGCAGTTGCAAAACGGGCAAACCACGGAAGACCGGGGTGGCCTCACCTTCGGTGGTCGGTGGAATGGATTTATGCATATCGTCGAGGAAAATCAGGAAGCCAGTTGGCGAGAGAGGAGGTTAACGAGGAAGACAGACCGGTAACAAGAGACAGAGAAGGCAAAGGGGACGAGGAAACACCCAGATAAGACGACAGGGGGGGGGGGGGGGGGNGGTTGTACTCGTAACCGTGCATGCCGTAGTCGTTAGACCATTGACCTCGCATCCCTACATAGCCGGGATTGAGTACGCCGGGTGCTCATCGCACCAGGCTAGCACATGACCAAGGGGGGTTGGGGAGTAATAGCAGACTGCGTCACGTAGATAAAAAAAATCAGCAGCAAGCCCAGCAGCGGGAGCACATTCAAGAGTACACGGCAGTCAGTCAGACCAACTCGAGTGCATAGACAAAAGCAACCTGGGTAGCGTGCGGTGTGCAAGCAATCGGCACAAGTTGCAGCCGAGACCGCCTGTTTTCGTATGAAGATGGCCCGGCCCACACCTCCAACTTCTTGTTCCGGGCAGCTCGAAATGAGGGACGCTGGCCACTACCGTGGACGAGTCCATCGAATCAGCCACACGGGCCGTTGAATGCGGGCGCTGCGGGGGAGATGGTCCACAAGGAGGCGTTGTGCACCTGGACAAAAAAGACGATGGTTTGCAGCAACTCCTGCCCCCCCCCCCAACCCCCGTTCCTTCCTGCCGACCCACCTGCAGGTAGCACTCCGTGCACAGCGGCTTCGCGCAGCAGGTGGTTCGATTCACCCCGTGGTAGTGCATGAAGCAGATGGGGCACTCCTCCGTCTGCTGCTGCTGCTCTTGCGCCCGCTGCCCCCCGCCCCCTCCCCCTCCTCCTCCCGCTGCCGCTGCTCCGACTCCACCGCTCCGCCCCGTGCCCACCGCTCCAGGCCCGAAGGTCGCCCTAACCGTTGACTCGTAGCCAATCACGCCGCCCGCGCTCACGCTCGCGCTGCCTAAGCCGCCGCCACCGCTGCCAGATGCTTCCTTTCCCGGGCCGAAGCTGGGAGCGTCCGCGCCGGGGTAGCGCGGGGCGACCTGGCCGTCCATGATCCAGCGGCGAACTACCCGCTCTTCCCACGGGCATGTTTCGTACAGGCTGGGGGGTAGAGGCAGACGAGAATAATTGGGACCGCTTGATGGTGGGCGGTGGGCGAAGTCTACCTATGCCGTCCCTACCCCTTCGGTCCAAGAATAGAGTCGAGGTTCTTACGCTCTATGATAGCCACATACACATACGCGTATTCCTTGTGTTGGGGAAGCAGGAGAACGTTTCTCGGGGTGCCGTTGCCGTTGCCGTTGCCGTTGCCCCCAACATAACAAAACCACAACGGAACAATTGGAACTGCATCAGCTAGCGGACCGCGGGTTCGATTTCTGCAAGGATCAACACGGCCCAAAACAATGGAAAATCTCAACAAGAGAAATTGCACGTATGTGGGGTGGGGTGGGGAGGGGTGGGGGGGCGTCGACTGAGGACTCCTTGTTTGAATGTGGCCTGGGCACGACCGATTTTACCAATCTGAGCAACGAGCAAATGCAAAAAGAAGGTTGTATTAGATGGAATCCTAGCAGCAATATCAACACAAGTGCGCACATCCACTGCTACATATCTGTCGTGTCTTACCCCGTAGGCTTGCAGTATTTCTCGAGCTCCTTGCTCCCGCTTTTCCTGCGAGTGGTCGAAACGTTCCCCATTTTAGATTCCCGCTCGTCTCCAAAAGGTCAAATAGCGCCCCCCGTCCCTACCCCCCTACCCCCCCGCTCTCCGCCCGGTTTCGAAATACTCGATCCTGCAAAAACCACTGCTGTCAACAACCAAGGCGGAAAACGACGTGTCGTGCGTAGCCGCAAAGAGTGGACAAAGCGGCCCAACGTCGAATTAGTTCGGCATTGATAAGGTGGTGCTTCTTCCGGAGGGGGCGGGGGGGGGGGGGTACTCATCGTCGTGCATGCCGTAGTCGTTAGCCCATTGACCTCGCATCCCTACAAAGCCGGGACGGAGCACGCCGGGTTCTCACCGGACCAGGCTCCTACATCACCAAGCGCGAAGCGCCGTGAGATATTCGGCGAGTCGCATGAAGGGTGCGCTGCATCCTGCTAAGGGTGTTCGGCATCTTGTGCTTACTTCCAGAGACACTTGTCAGCACTGTGCAACTGCCTCGAGGGTGCTTGACCATTTTAACACAACGTGCNAACGGAGGTAAAAAAAAAAATACGGTAATCTGGTTGCCGAGTTCACGAAGTGAATTGGCTTGTTTTACAACGTCGTTGCCA